CAGTCCGTAGGCGTGTTCTGGCATGTATTGATGCTCACGGTGGACATACCTGCTACTGACTTGACTTTGAGACGTGTGGTGTGACATTTCCCGTTGTTTCTGTGATCAGTGCTCTAACGAAATGTTCATTTTTCGACCCCACCCATCTTTAAAGGCTTGTCATATTGGTGGTACAGATTTTATTGAAATGAAATTTTTGTACAGATGTTGTGAAAGGATTTCTCAAAGCATAACACCAATCCTAAACTTCTGCATTGTTTAGTTTTTCTTTTATGTCGTTGCAAACAGGTGGTATCGTTTCTTTTGGACACTAGTTTACATAGATTAAATGATAATCCTTGTATTTGCAATACATGAATTCATATTCCTTGTATTTTCTATTAATTAACTCACAATTCTTGTACATATATTCTCAGTAGACTAAATCATATTCGTGTGTTCTCAGTGGAATGACGTTACAGTAGCGATATGACTGCAAGATTGCCGATGCGATGCAAAATAATAACTCACCCACTCACTCACTCCATATCACTTCGAACCTCTACAGGCAAATTCCTATTTCCTGTATCCCCACTGTGTACAACTCGTATTGCCAGTATTTTCTGAATCTCAACTAATTTTGCCTTTATCGAATACTGGAAAGTTAAACATGTAAATTCCTTTTCATTAGGTATGTGATGATGAGCTTCACCGATGTGACTCTTTGACAAACGTTCCAACAATGCAACAAGAGTTACTTCCCTTGAATTGCGCCAAGAAAAAGACTGACTTTGGACCAGCGCGGTCATTTATTTGGGCGGAGAGAGCTGGGGTGGACAACGCGTGACAGCCAGTGGAACGATATGATACAAGAAACACGTGTTTCATATGTGTCACGTACACGTGATCACGGTGTAGAAGGCGTCCCACAGGACACCTGGCGTGCAACGTCTGTGACGCCATGGAATACCATGACCACTCCACATTGTCGTAACACCGACTACATCACAAGGAAGTGTTTGGGAATCACTCTCAAATAGTGATGATAATCACAAACACACCCAAAATCAAGGTACAAGTCAACAGAGGGAATTTAATCGGACATCTTTTTTGTAACTGATGCATCAAATTTGGAAATGTCAGTCGCACTCTTTGAAAGCCTTACAGAGGCCATGGATGCTGTAACACTGTCCACAGGAGTCCATATCTAAAAATAGACGCCTTCATGCATATTCATGACCATCTCCACGAGCCCTTCCGGAAATGGTCATGAATATGCATGAGGGCGTCTATTTTTAGATACGGACTCCTGTGCCCTGACAAACCAAATTTGAATTTGAGTCGTTTGGCGCTCTGTGCAGAACTGTAAAATTAAGACACCAATGTAGAAATGTCGTGATCTGTACCGTTCTGATGAATTAAAACGTATATTTATATTTAATGTTATGTATATGCAATGTAGTCTCCGACAATATCGGAGGTTTGTTTGTTTGTTTGTTTGTTTAACGCCGCACTCAGCAATATTCCAGCTATATGACGGCGGTCTGTAAATAATCGAGTCTGGACCAGACAATCTAGTGATTAATGCCATTAGCATCGATCCACGCAATTGTGATCGATGGCATGCATCAACCAAGTCAGCGAGTCTCACCACCCGATCCCGTTAGTCGCCTTTTACGACAAGCATAGTCACCTTTTACGGCAAGTATGGGTGTCTGGAGACCTATCCTCCCCGGAATCTTCAAGGGTCCAATATCGGGGGAACTGTTTGTCGCTCGTTCGTTCTTCGTTCGTTGTCTTCTCGTTTTAATTTATTAGTCCATCTATCCATCCACCCATTCATTCGTGCATTCATTAATTCATGCGTTCATGGCGATGAGTCATTCTATGGGGACGTGTGAACAGTATGGACAATGTACCTACGAAGTGCAGAAACAAACTATATTTGTGTGAAGGATAAAACACGACCGAGAGTTTTTATAGAGACTCAAAACCCGAATCCGAGGGTTTTAAATCTCATAAAACCCCAAGCAAGTGTTTTATCAAATTTATAAACCGATAACTATTCTGAAACCACATGTAACAACACTTTTATGTTTCAAACATACTTTGCAGTTGTAAATAATATTGTTATGATAAAATATGTTTGACAACTTTTAAAAAAAATTTAACTTGTATTCATGCCTCAATTATGTGTATTCCAACTTGTACTTGTCGCTATATGTCTGAAATACTTTTAACTAACTCAAACATACTTTCCATGAACCTAGGGAAACGGGCGTAAAATATCTCTTGCGGTGGTCGATGTTCTTGAAAATGAGTTTGCTCTAATAGTGAGTGAGTGAGATGGGATTAACGTCGCTTTTAACAGTATTCCAGTTATATCACGGCGTGTCAGCTTAATGTGGGAGGAAAGCCGGAAATGATGCAGGTCTCAGACGTTTACCACTTCGGTGAAACTCACGAGAACGGGTAAGGTGCTGACTAACATAGAAACATAATCGGGGCGAACCGGGATTCGAACCCACAATCATAGGTTTCTGGCTTGCCCAAGGGACGCAACTCTGCACAGCAAATAGCGGCGCCTTAGACGACTGGGCCACCCGTGCCCCCTTGCTCTAATAAGCAAAGTTTCAATATCACCTAAAATCAAGGGTACATTATTTAAAATCCCTGTAATATTATATACATTTCCAGGGATATTACAACATCCCCGTAGCTGAGATTGAAGCTTGTCGTAAGAGGCGACTAGCGATCAGTTGGTATCACTTTTGCGTGGATCGATGTTTATGATATCAGTCACTGGATCGTCTGATTCGACCACAAACAAACAAACTCCACGATCTGGTTCTCACCTCAGTCTTAGTCTGGACATTGTAATTAGTGACGGAGACAGGCTGAGACAGTGACTGTGTGCAATTACAGTACTCAACTGCTAGATTGATATACACCTTAACATATAAGTAAAAGACAGACAAATTGACTTTGAGTGATTTGAATAAACAGTCTCTTTAAGACAATTTCTACACTGGACAACCACCACTTATCAAATTGAAATTGAAAGTTCTTTATACGTTGAAATCAGTAAAACAATGTGTGGTTTGTTTTGTGTCTGTTGTCTATGCCAGGTACGGCTGTATCATGTGACTGACTGAAAGTTTTATGTATATCTGGCATGCTTGTGTGTGATAGGTAGTGTTGTGTGTGATAGGTAGTGTTGTGTATGATAGGTAGTGTGTCTGGTCGGGTTGTGTGTGTCTGGTTGGTTTGTGTGTCATAGGTATAACTGCGTGTGACAGGTAGGGTTGTGTGAGAGGTTGGGTTCTTTGTGATACGTTGTGTTGTATGTGATAGGCAGGGTCGTGTGTGTCTTGTCGGGTTGTGTGTGACATATTGTATGTGATAGGCAGGGTTGCGCTTGTCTGGTATGGTTGTGTGTGACAGGTTGTATGTGATAGGCAGGGTTGCGCTTGTCTTGTATGGTTGTGTGTGACAGGTTGTATGTACATATATGTACATAAGTAGTCACTACAGTGACATAGGGGGACTACATTGGTCACTTTGTCTGTATTTGCACGTAAATAGTCTGAACAATGACATAGGTAGATCAGTTTGTATATCCACATGTATGTGTTTATAAGTACACGTGGAATCGTAGACTTTGGACCTAACCATCTATACTGTAAAGAAAAGACAGGACATTACATTTTAACATGCAATTCTTGTATATCAGTTTGTGGACATATTAAAGACGAATGCATCTGTCTATTATAGAAACTTTTGAAAATCACATTTTTTAATTTTTTTCATTCATCTCCATCTATTTTGCCCACTGTGTAAGGTGACCCCTTACCACGATTGTATTTGTGATGATGCCTTTGGGGGCCATGTGTTTTAGAGATGGAGTCACCAGGAAATTGTAGTAGTGATTGGGCCACTAAAGTCGTGTGTATTACTGATGGTTGGTTGGTTGGTTGGTTGGTTGGTTTAACGCCGCACTCAGCAATATTCCAGATATATGACGGCGGTCTGTAAATAATAGAGTCTGGACCAGCCAGTCCAGTGGTTGATGTCATGAGCATCGATCCACGCAATCGGGATCGATGACATGCATCAACCAAGTCGGCGAGCCTGACCACCCGATTCTGTTTGATCCTCTTACGACAAGCATAGTCGCCTTTTACAGCAAGCATGGGTTGCTGTAGACCTATTCTACCCCGGATCTTTCACGGATCAGTGAAAGGGCCTTTGAGGGCCGTGTGTACAAGTGATGGAGACTTTGAGGCCTATTGAAATTAGTTGTTAGGTGTGTTGTGCTATTGCCGGAGGCATGTTGGGCCTTTTTCTGTTCACCAGAGGGACCCTCAGGGCTATTTTTGAAACATTTTATGTCCACTTAGGGCCATATTTAGTAATTCAAGGAGCCACTGATGGTGATTTTGTATCAGTTTCAGGGCTACTCAGGGCCGAGTGTAGCAGTGGTGGGGCCACCTCAAGGGGGCACGGTCGTCTAGGGCGCCGCGATTTGCTGTGCAGAGTTGTGTCCCATGGACAGGCCAGAAACCTATGATTGTGGGTTCGAATCCCGGTTCACCCCGAATATGTTTCTAGGTTTGTCAGCACCATATCCGTGCTCGTGATCAGATGGTCTAGTTGTCACAGGAGCAGATGGTTCAGATGTCAAGGATGGAATGGTTCACTTGGGGGGCAGTTTTAATATCACGGTACAGACATATCTTTTGTATTTGACTCAGCATTGATAAATGCAACTGACCCAATGGTGAAACATAAATTGACATTGCTAGAGAACAACCAGTTTAGAATATCCATCAAAACAGATTCCACTTTGCGTAAAGGCCAAAATATCTGTACAACATTTGTGAATGGACCACTGAAAACAATATAGGGAGGTCAGTGTCCACATGCTTTGGCTAGTGCAATTATTGTACCATTACATATAAAGAAAGGGTAGTGTCACACGATTTTCACAAGAGGAAGTAGAAATGACAGAACCCCCAAAGAAAATTTTAAAACATCATTTATTCCAAAGAGAAAAGATATTTACATAAATATCTACGAACTACTCCTACTAATGCAACCTTACTCCACCAGTAAACTGAACACTGTCCGACAACCGCTGCTTCCACTACAACACAACAACTAAACTAATGTCTACTTCTATTAATACTAATACCACTACTACTTGTCTACACATACAAACATTGGTACAACAGCCATCGTTGGCTATACCACAGCAAATCAAATACAATTACATATACACACAATGCAATCTCAAAGGTTCAGGTATAAAACATATCACATCTTATTTCACATCACAATCATACAGTGATGACTGACATGTGTAAGGGCATTGTCCAACAACAAAATATAGTTCCGGTCTATCACGACACACTCTGAATGTTAAAGAGAACAACAAATAGTTACAATGGGAATGTTGAATTGACCTCAGTCAATGTATTGTCATTAATGACCACAGGTCATATCGAAGTATTTGTAGATACAGCACTAGTGAACACTGCATTCACTCAATACACTCTGGACCTGTGACTTGGTTGATGCATGTCATCGTGTCCCAATAGATCAATGCTCATTAGGTCAATCACTGGGTTGTTCGGTCCAGACTCGATTATTTACAGACCGCCGTCATATAGCTGGAATATTGCTGAGAGCGGCATTAAACAACGAAACAAACACTAAACTCTGAATACTACATTCAAAAACTCTGATACAACACTTTGAAGGCAACATCTACACTGACCACAGCAACCGTGTGGTAGGTCATGCCTGCCTCCCTTCTGACGTTCTCCCAGCTATACATCTAGGTGCGTACCAAGTTGTCCCCAGGGTAGGAAGGAATGTCCTGCCTGTATAACATCTACACTGACCACAGCAACCTTGTGGTAGGTCATGCCTGCCTCCCTTCAGACGTTCTCCCAGCTAAACATCTAGGTGCGTACCAAGTTGTGCCCAGGGTAGGAAGGAATGTCCTGCCTGAAGGACATCTACACTGACCACAGCAACCGTGTGGTAGGTCATGCCTGCCTCCCTTCTCATGTTCTCCCAGCTGTACATCTAGGTGCGTACCAAGTTGTCCCAGGGTAGGAAGGAATGTCCTGCCTGTAGGACATCTACACTGACCACAGCAACCGTGTGGTAGGTCATGCCTGCCTCCCTTCAGACGTTCTCCCAGCTACACATCAAGGTGCGTACCAAGTTGTCCCCAGGGTAGGACGGAGTGTCCTGCCTGTATGACATGTACAGTGGAAGGACTGTACCCGGGATGCTGGGAGTCTCATCCAGCACCATTAATTCAAAGTATTTTGAACACGTCTAAATACACCGTATACACTAATACCACTAATACCACTACCACTAATAATAACAGGAGTAATAGCTGAAAACAAGTTAAAAAACCTTTTTTAGAGAGTTTACTCCATATTTGCATTTACAATATATAATATGCTAAACAACATAATTCAAATATGTACCACAGATTAAATGTTTTTAATAAACCACACAGTTTTACAATCCACGAATGTTAAAAAGTATGAAGTAGTTGCGCCAAACCTTGGCCTAAGGTGTCGTGGTGGTCTGTGGCGTTCTCGCGCTCCACTACAAGAACCACATCTGACACTATACGTGTACCCTTTACATAACTATTCATCCGCACGGATTATACGATATTTGGTTGGTATGGGGATGGTGGTGGCATGGTGTGGGGCGGTTTCACACATGGCATGGGAACAGATTTGATTATTGTCATTTGACATTTCCCTGGCCAACGATGTTGTTCCATTAGCTGGAATTACCTGCAAAAAGGCTGAACTGCTAGATGGCAATGTCAAGCCATATCGCACCAAGGTCTTCACCGATTATCTCCGACGAGGAGGCAGACGGACATTGGACTGGACAGCTGAGACCCCCTACATGTCTCGCTCACATTTGGATGCAATCGTTCGATCATAGCGTTTTTCTACGTACATGCTACTTCATTCAGGGAAACACCAAGCCACAAAATATGTTATATTTTGTCATATCACGTGGATATCCGTTACAAAATCATGTGAAGATGTATATAAGTGAGCTGCAAGACCTTTTTTCTTTGATAGGAAATCAGACACACACAAACCAGTACTATGTCACTATTTGTTGTTCCCTGTCAGACGTGACTGCTGTGGCTACAATATCTGTATCAACATGGTCATGTCTGTCATCGATGTTCACCACATTCAGTGCATGGACATGCTTCACCATTTCTGCATCACCTCTTAGAGAGGCCAAATGAAGGATGGTGTCTCCGTCATCATCCACCAAGGCTACATCAGCTCCTTGTGTCACAAGTAAGTCAAACACTTCTCTGCTGCCACCATCAGGGGTGTCCTCCCCTACTGTTGATGTCTGCAACCTTCTGTGAGAGGACATGCTTCACCATGTCCACATGTCCTCCAAGACAGGCAACATAAAGAATGTTGTCTCCGTCTTCATTCACTAATGAAACATCAGCTCCTTCTCCCACAAGTAAGTCAAACACTTGTCTGTGTCCCTTCTCTGCTGTCTTCATCAGGGGTGCCCCCCAGTACTTCCCCCTACTGTTGATGTCTGCAACATTCTGTGAGAGGACATATTTCACCATGTCTACATGTTCTCCAAGACAGGCCACATGAAGGATGTTTGTTCTGTTCTCATCAACTTATGATACATCAGCTCCTTCTCTCACAAGTAGGTCAAACACTTGTCTATGTCTCTTCTCTGCTGCCACCATCAGGGGTGTCCTCCCGTTGTGCCCCCTACTGTTGATGTCTGCAACCTTTTTTGAGAGGACATACTTCACCATGTCCACATGTCCTCCAAGACAGGCTACATGAAGGATGTTGTTTCTGTTTTTATCCACTAATGATACATCAGCTCCTTCTCCCACAAGTAAGTCAAACACTTGTTTGTGTCCCTTCTGTGCTGTCTTCATCAGGGGTGTCCCCCAGTACTTCCCCCTACTGTTGATGTCTGCAACCTTCTGTGAGAGGATATACTTCACCATGTCTACATGTCCTCCAAGACAGGCCACATGAAGGATGTTGTTTCTGTTATCATCCACTAAACATACATCAGCTCCTTCTGTCACAAGTAAGTCAAACACTTGTCTGTGTCCCTTCTCTGCTGTCGCCATCAGGGGTGTCCTCCCGTATTGCCCCCTGCTGTTGATGTCTGCAACCTTCTGTGAGAGGAAATACTCCACCATGTCCACATGTCCTCCACGACAGGCCACATGAAGGATGTTGTTTCTGTTATCATCCACTAATGATACATCAACTCCTTGTGTCATAAGTAGGTCAAACACTTGTCTGTGTCCCGCACCGACCGCCATCATTAGGGGTGTCCTCCAGTACTTTCCCCTACTATTGATGTCTGCAACCTTCTGCGAAAGGACATACTTCACCATGTCTACATGTCCTCCAAGACAGGAAACATGTAGGATGTTGTTTCTGTTCTCATCCGCTAATGATGTATCAGCTCCTTCTCTCACAAGTAAGTCAAACACTTGTCTGTGTCCTTTCTCCGCTGTCTTCATCAAGGGTGTCCTCCTGTACTTCCCCCTACTGTTGATGTCTGCAACCTTCTGTGAGAGGACATAGTTCACCATGTCTGTATGTCCTCCAAGACAGGCCACATGAAGGATGTTGTTTCTGTCATAATCCACTAATGATACATCAGCTCCTTCTCTCATAAGTAAGTCAAACACTTGTCTGTGTCCCTTCTCTGCTGCCACCATCAGGGGTGTCCTCCCGTTGTGCCCCCTACTGTTGATGTCTGCAACCTCCTGTGAAAGAACATATTTCACCATGTCTACATGTCCTCCAAGACAGGCAAAATGAAGGATGTCGTTTCTGTTCTCATCCACTAAAAATTCATCAGCTCCTTGTGTCACAAGTAGGTCAAACACTTGTCTGTGTCCCTTCTGTGCTGCCTTCATCAGGGGTGTCCTCCCGTTGTGCCCCCTACTGTTGATGTCTGCAACCTTCTGTGAGAGGGCATATTTCACCATGTCCACATGTCCTCCAAGACAGGCCACATGAAGGATGTTGTTTCTGTTATCATCCACTAATGATACATCAGCTCCTTGTGTCACAAGTAAGTCAAATACTTGTCTGTGTCCCTTCTCTGCTGCCTTCATCAGGGGTGTCCACCCATATTTCCCCCTAATGTTGATGTCTGCAACCTTTTTTGAGAGGATATACTTCACCATGTCTACATGTCCTCCAAGACAGGCCACATGAAGGATGTTGTTTCTGTTATCATCCACTAATGATACATCAGCTCCTTGTGTCACAAGTAAGTCAAACACTTGTCTGTGTCCCTTCTCTGCTGACATCATCGTGGGTGTCCGCCCGTACTGGCCTCTACTGTTGATGTCTGCAACCTTCTGTGAGAGGACATACTTTACCATATCTGTATGTCCTCCAAGACAGGCCACATGAAGGATTTTGTTTCTGTTATAATCCACTAATGATACATCAGCTCCTTGTGTCACAAGTAAGTCAAACACTTGTCTGTGTCCCTTCTCTGCTGACATCATCAGGGGTGTCCACCCGTACTGCCCCCTACTGTTGATGTTTGCAACCTTCTGTGAGAGGATATACTTCACCATATCTGTATGTCCTCCAAGACAGGCCACGTGAAGGATGTTGTTTCTGTCATAATCCACCAATGATACATCAGCTCCTTGTGTCATAAGTAGGTCAAACACTTGTCTGTGTCCCTTCTCTGCTGCCATCATCAGGGGTGTCCCCCCGTACTGGCCCCTATTGTTGATGTCTGCAACCTTTTTTGAGAGGACATACTTCACCAAGTCTACATGTCCTCCAAGACAGGCCACATGAAGGATGTCGTTTCTGTCATAATCCACTAATGATACATCAGCTCCTTGTGTCACAAGTAGGTCGATCACTTGTCTGTGTCCTTTCTCTGCTGCCATCATCAGGGGTGTCCGCCCGTACTGGCCCCTAATATTGAGGTTTACCAGACTCTCAGATAAGATGCACGTAAGCCGGTCAAGGTCTCCCTTCTTGCAGGCAAGATGGAGGTCTGTATCAGCATGTAGGGTGTTCTCTGTCACTAAAACAAAAGGATTAGTAAGTCATTACAGGGAATAACATCAAAGCCAGATACAAATTAACAATCCATTTACTAACTAAACTTTATTACCCAACCATATACACTTAGATCCAAGTTCAACCTCAGTGCCCTTCGCCCTCATTCACGTCTCCCCTGTACATCAGCTGCCCACATAGAAGAAGGTCGAATGTTACCCACTTACATGTTACCTCACACATGAGATCTACTCCCAATATAGGACTTCGAACCCTGTCACAGTCTAAATAGTAAACATTACGTCCCCCTATCAAGTGAAGGAAAATTATACATGATGATTTTGAATGTCCAATTAGTGATTTGTTTCCCAGCTTTACCATGAACTGGTTCAGCCACCACCTGTGTAGCATTTGAGATTTGTTGTTCACCTTCATTTATAACACGCAAGACTAAAGTAGGGCGGAAAACGTCATGTGCAATGCAACAATAAAATAGATAAGCTCCCAGTGTAGTCTGTGTTTCCCAGTGTTCATCTCACAATCATCCCAGAGATAAGCTCCTCCTTCGTATCACAGTAACGATCTACATGACATATTAATGCCTATTTAGTATAAGTCATGCTCATGTCCCCTCCTCAGCATTATCAACACAAGGTCATAGTCCAGTATCGCCCCCTCATGTATTGCCAGTTTAGTTTAGCTGACGTCTCCTCTCACCTCCAACAGTGTTGTGCCACATCCACCATTAAAAATGAATAAGTACTGTGTTGTCGGTTAGAAATAAAGCATACAGCTCGAAAGGGAATGATAGGCCTACTAGTAATCTAAAGGCACAGGAAGCATCACCATTCCGCACGTGTTGTAGTTTGGGGTTCTTCTGTCGTCATATCGCTAGAATGGTGATACAAGCGGTGGTAAATTAGCTTCACACATTCACTTACCTTTCTGTTTTGGCGCTTTAGGATTGCAAACCCTCTTTAGATTGTCTTTAATCATGCCCAAAGGGTCTTCTGTATCCTGGTTACGTCTGTGAGTAATTGGATCCCTGCCCCAGGATGCCAGACTGCTTGTTTCACTGTGAAAGCCACTGTCCACAGAAGCAAGAGACAGCCGGTTGAAGGACTCCAGCTTCTCGGATGCAAACAGTGCAAAATCAGGAGTAAATATCAACGTAAGAAATGTAGAAAAGGGGGTAACATCCCTGTTGGAAAGAGGACCAAAAAAAATACTTTTCAAACAACACATTGTATGCAGAATAACAAGCATATCCACTATAAGATGTTTTCTGTAAACCCCTAGAACTCTTTTTTCGAGTGTTTTCGATAAGATATTACTTTTTAAAGCCAAATCCTCAGGTCATACGAGAATTTCCAATAGTCGGCCCCACATATCAGCCCATCTCTATTTGATAATGAAAATATATAATTTACCAAGAAGAGCTATTGCTCCGAAGTCAACTATCCAGGAAAATATGATCTGAAGAATATGGTATATTGATTGAGAAGAAATATGGAAAAATGTTCACAATATGCAATATTTGCATGTTTTGTTGATTGATCACTCTGCTATGACAGTATCAGAACCAGGTGCCTGTTATTTACTTTCAGATTGTTCGATTAAGTTACCATCATCTTGGTTCACAGGGACTGAAAATTCATTTTTTTAACATATTAAAGTTTGAATATTGAGTTTACCTTTTCTGTTCGAAATATTTACTTATTTTCCTTAAATTATTGTTATACCGATTTCATTCTCGATCGTTATGTTCCAAAGATGCATTATCTTCAGACCACATTTTTCAGTATTTATTGTTTTTATTTCATGTATACGTGTTCTGTGATTTCAAATCAAGTATAACGTTTTATTACTGCCTCCCTGGGGTAGTGGATACAGTATCTGACTTGAGAGTGGATGGTTGATGGTCTAGACCCTGCCAGCATGCTACCAAATCACATAGAAAGATGACACTTGTTACCCTGCCTGGTGATTGGTATTGTCTCGATACACGACACAATTCCGGACTAGTACAAGCATCCACACACACAATCATTCACGTCGCTATATGATTGAAATAATTTTGAAAGCAACGTTAAAGGTTATTTTACCACACATCACCTTAACATTTTATTTCTGCTCAACAGTTACCTTTTTCAGTTGAATATTTTCTTCCTCAAGTCTGACGAGGGTACCTGAGAAAAAAATAGTTATTACGTGAAACATGTAAGGATATATGTTAGACCATGATCGTTCTAATTACTACTTTACCACAACAGTAAATATATTTTGGACTTCTTTCACAAACTTACCCTCTTGCCAATTTCAAATTTCTTATATCTTTAAATATGCTAAATAACGCGTTGCAGTTCCTTCATTCTACAAGCCTGAAACAGGCTCCACTAAATCTCTAAATGTTCCTGAATTTGTACTTTGCAAACATTGGAATAGATGTTTTAAACATAAGTAACATTCTCAGAAAGTTTCTCTAAATGTTCCACAATATTTCAAATTTCAGAAACTATCAAACCGTTCCCTTTACTAACACTAACTCATGCAGGAACATGTTACAGGACGTGGACTTCTGATGTACACACTACTATTATGAGGTCATATAGTTCTTTAGATTTGAAGTCTAAACAGTGTGACGAGATAGGCTTGACCACAATGTACTTGATAGGGTAGTGGCAAAGGTCAAGCCATGTTGATGTAATTAAACTTTACAATACACTCTCAAAGTGATCAACGAGTCAAGTACGATTCCGACAATATCATGAGCATGTGTCCATGAATCGCTATCAAATAGTGGTGATAGCAAGTGTATCCTGCTTTACCGCTGGCCCCACAAATTCGCTCAGGGTTAATTTCGGTATACATAAAGGTACCTAGATAATATCTGTGGTCAACGACACCTTCAGCGCCACATGGCAACAGATGCAGCTGTTTCAGTTTGTCTGTCGGTATTGGATTATTTAACTCTGGCTATGCTGCTTCAGAGTATCTGAATCTAACGTAAATCTTTTTCATTTTTCAGCTGCCAAGATTGGATTTTCAAGTTGTAAATACTGAATCCTAATTATGAGTAGTATGTGGTATTTCTACAGTGACAAGTATCTTCTGAACTTGTTAAGATGATTTATTATCAAAACACTTATGATGGAAACGTTCGCACCTTGAGGTATGTCTGTTGAACATCCTGCTCCGTCAAGGCTTGGTTTGTTATACTGCTCTTCAAGTCCTACCTGTGATGACAAAGATCAAAACTGTTTGCATATATTTGGTATTATTTATATCAAAAGTATATGGAATCAAGTTGTGCTGAAGGTCCAAAGTGCGTTTCATTAATATTATTCACATTTAAAGCTTGTTCGAACTGCACATCTTCATCTGTCTATTAGTACTGCCTTACCGTGTTACTGTCATTACTGTGTCTTGTACATGTGTCTCCTGAACCTGTAAATAATTGTAGAGGTCAATTAACGTCATGTGGCATATCACTTGCCACATACAGCTGCAGCTTAACCCACTGGATGCCGAGTTATTTTTCTGTTGCACAGAGATGAAAAGGTAAATGTTGTGCGAGAAGTGCTGTCGTGCGGCACTGCATCTATCTTTAACTATAAATTTAGAATATTACATTCCCTATTAGAGTGTGTACAATCATTGCAAATATAAGATTAATCTGAAAAACAGACTGATATTTTGTTGAGCGTGAAAACACAGCAAACCTTGGCCACTTTTTAATCATACATCGATACAAGTACTGTGCTACAAAAAAGTTTATTTGACAGCTTCATTTAAACTATAAACGAACAAAATACTGCCTAACATTTTAATGCAATTGTGATATATAAAATACATTTGTAAGGGTATTTATAACGTTATATATTCGATACAAAAGGCAACTTGTTGTAAATGAGGGAAGGAAATCAAGTTTTCATTATGACGTCAAAACAAGGCAGAGAGGTATTCACATGCACACAGAAAACTCCGCTGTCCTGGTGACAATTTGCTATGGATTACACAACAATGTATTGTCTTGTTCAGAGTAACCAAACTATTGCAACACAAATATCAATAGGACGTGCAGGTATCGTGACAAATCATAAAGTATGATATCGTACTACATAAACAATAGTGAGTGAGTGAGTATGGTTTTACGCCGCTTTTAGCAATATTCCAGCAATATCACGGCGGGGTACACAGAAATGGGTTTCATATATTGTACCCATGTCGGGAATCGAACCCGGGTCTTCGGCGTGACGAGCGAACGGTTTAACCTTTAGGCTACCCGACCGCCCCACATAAACAATAAAGTGATAAAGAAATGGATGGCCCTAGCTAACATGTAAATTAGTTCTAAGATCACCGCATACACCCCATTGTGTCAGTGTGATTTGACTCATGTTGACCAATATTAATGGCGTACAAGTCTCATCAAATGTCTTGAATTAATAAATCATATACTCAAAAGATTGTTTCAAAACAAACAAATGTACTTTTAATATTTAATATGTTTTTATTTCGGAAATTTTGGCCATCCGGCCCATAATTCACAAAAAGTCACAAACAATATATTGATGAACTGTCCGCCTTTGTACATCCAATGCATTACTATCAATATGCGCGTGCATTATCAGCAAATGCTATCAATTCATATCATAGTGTTTGTCAATTTATTGATTTCTCACATTGATACCATAATTATTATGCACCTTGTTTCCATGCATGTTAGTTATTACAAATTTTCATGATTACGTTAAAATGTCCTTTTACAAAGCTTAAATACTGACTCCTCAAATTATCCCACAAAAGACAGATCAACAAAAATGTTCTTCCTTTTTGATAACTATATTTAAACACACATTGATACAACATAAACATAATCTTCCTTCCTACAAACTATTTTCCCATCGTCTAGACTCAATATGCAAATTAAGATTTCCACAACGGAATTTACATTTCTTACTGACTCTTAAAAAGGCGACTATGCTTGTCGTAAGAGGCGACTAACGGGATGGGCAGACTCGCTGACTTGGTTGATGCATGTCATCGTATCCTACTTGCGTAGATTGATGCTCATGATGTCAATCACTGGATTGTCTGGTCCAGATTCGATTATTTACAGACCGCCGTCATATAGCTTCAATATTGCTGAGTGCGACGTTAAACAACAAACAAACAAAACTGACTACTTATTCGCTACTGTTCTGGTTGTAACACACATTTACACAGTTCATAAATGTCTTATATTTACTTTCCCATATATAATACAAAGCCAATGTTGACTTAATACATCTTTCAATCGTTGAGCAAAAGAAACTTAACGTAGTTGCGCCTTCCTGACACCCAGATTTAACCAAACGAATCCATACCCATGTTCAAACTAAATATTTATAACAAATCCGACCCCTGTTTGCCTTCCGGCAACATATTTTATCGAAGTTCGGGGTACCTATGGCTTTGCATGGACAACATTTTTTTCCAGTAGGATATGCATTTTCATAACATACAGTAGAAATAACGAGTAGATCTACCCTCCTATAACTGTACCGTTTAAAAACACGTTACATATTGATATCGTCAAACTTCTGAGGCGTAGATTACAATAGGTGCGATCATTCTGTCAAACACGAACATTGATATATTTACATTGTGCTAATAACGCTTAATACACCTTAAAAGATGAAGAGTAACTTTCTCAGCTTGTGATAAGTGGAGACAGGTTTTCCCCCATCTCAGTGTACATGTAGCTGTGACATAGATACCAAGATTTATTACCCACGTGGTGAAGATACAGATAGTAAGATACAAAATCCGTACGTCACACGTGTGTCGTACAAGGTTGACGTCGTTTTATTCGTTTTGATTGGATAACCGTGACCTTAGTCTCACCGGAACTACTTTTTGCATTCATAAAAAAGTCACGAGACGTCATTCATTTTTACAACTAGGCAGAACGGAAGTAATCTCATGAAAGCGGGAGACATTGACACACACTTTACTAAACCAAACAAGATCGTCGTCACACGCATCAAATTAGCTTTGCATTCTTTATTATTTAAACACAGAGCTACTACAGACATTATATAAGCCAGACATATCCATATGCAATGAACGACTACCGATAGATCGCGGGTTCCCTATGAGAGTGACGCACCCGACTACTTTCGCGACTTTCAATTTGATTGAACTTAGACGGTAAAGCCTGGTGAAATGAAATCAGATTAAACTACCTGTTCAGATATCTAGACTTGTATACCCCGGTTGTGCCATCAGTGCCCAAATTCGAAGCGTATTTTTGACATGGCTTCAGAAGGTGTTCGTTCATGAATGAACATACACGACTTTACGATCACTCAAAGTGAACAGTTCCAATACAAATCATTCAAAAACTCCATGGAAGTGTACCTGACTTCTGTTTTTTGTGTGGCCCAAACATCACAAATGAGAAAATAACGTTCCCTATTATTTTTAAGCGCAAAATGCTGTGAGTAGATGACGGTTGGTTTTTCTCATTCCGATGGGGACCTTGCCCTTCGTTCGAAACTGTTACTGACATGTAAGCAGACATAAACGTCTTTGGCGAGCACTCTGATTTCCCTCTTCCAAAATGGTGACGACAGGATATAAATTCAGCTGGTAGATCAAGGAAATCGAACCATTTTGAATGCACAGCCAGCCCCGTCGGTGCGAAGGACCGAGTGTTATTCCGAGATTCAAAGCACAGCGCTAAATGACTTTTAAAGTTGTTCGACAGTTGTCATGCGCACCAACAACAATGCACTTGAATAACCATAAGTTGAATAAATCTTTTAATAAGATCTTGAGCGTTGATGCCATCATTTTTGCACAAACAGAAACAGCAGAAACATGTTGTTAATGCGTATGCATAGAAATATTAACAATGCCTATATATGGGCATATATCAATATTCACGTGCGACCAGAGTTGCAATCGGTTTTAGTTTGGTCTGTCAACGAAAGAAAGTTTTTTATGTATTTACACTTAAATACATATTTTGACGTTGGTAATAAATAAAATACCACACTCATTCTTTTTAGATACCATTTTTACGAAACTCGTGAACTTTCTTTGGTGTCTGACCGAGCGAAAACCACTCGTTTCATAAAAAAGATATCTAACGAGAATAAATGTAGTATTCTCTATGTATATATTCAGAGAGTGTTTCCAAAATATGTCCGTCATAGTTCCATTATTCAGTTGTTTTAAGTTGCCGACCTCTTCTGGATGTCATGATCTTAATCTTTTGTCTTTTCACTTTCATGCCATACGTAGTACATAACATATCAATATGTTGATTTAATCTACACATGCTATCGGCAGCATTTACCATGTAATCAGCAAATAATAAGGTGGGGAAATCTTCTGGGAGATTACCAACATATATACCACTGCAGTCAGAATATCATATCAATATTGGGCATATATTTGTTCATGACATAGTAGTTGTTTCTCTTTATTTCGTCTCAGAATAAACAATGAAAGATGCGAATAACCTCCGTTTGTGTGGAATTATCAGGATAATCGTACCAGTATAAATGAACTTGGTGTTTCTCTTACTGATGAATGGAACAACATGAGTCAAGCTGACATTGATCGACTCGTCAGAAGCATGGCTCGAAGAATTCGTGCATGTCTGGCCAACAGAAATGGTTTTACACGTGCCGTTGGCTGCAAAAGGCAATTTTGAATTTGACCCCCGACGTCTTAAAGACTTAGTGCTCCACCATCTCAGTAAACTAGCTGTTTGAACCCATTAAATCTGATCGCTTACTCACCAGCAGGTATGATCAGATCATTGACATTTGCCAATACCACATACATCAGAAGATATATCTTGATGATTCCCACTACCCCTTATTTTGTTCTCATCGTACAACAATGTTTACATATGTCATCACTTCTGGTGACCGACTTTCACTCAATGGCGTCATCACTGATATTAGTACGATGGATTTTCAGAGGAGGAATTTCGTTTATTCAGGAATCGTATCAACATAAATGTATCATGTAAGTAATCAGAAACAATCTGACAACTTGCGCATTGTTTTTTTCTTTTAAAGTTTTTCATTGTAACCAAGAGAGCTGGTCAGAAATGCAGATAACTAATTGCGGATAATAATTTTCAATTTACAAAATCAATGTAAAATATTTCTATCAATTCCATAATCATTACTATGATTCCATTTCCATGCATATGAAATTTGCCAATGTATGCAACTTGTAGACGATGGATATCTCGAAACAGGAGAAACACTGTAAAATCTGAATCTGAAGTACAGATTTATTTAACGATCTTCTGGTTGTGTGTTTTACACAATATAGTCAGTTGTTTCACCCCTTTTTGAATATTGTAATCACGGGATATTTTAAACTGGTTATTTTTTTGTTGAAGAATTGTGATATATAAAGTATATAAGTATATAATTATAAAAATGTGTCATGTACACCGAGGGTCGAACCTTATACGATTATACATATAAAAGAGTGGATGGTTTTCGCACCTTTCACTGAATAAATCCGAGACGACACGGTGTGAAATAAGCACACAATCATGAACAAATACATATCCATTATTTATAAATATAATTATTTGTTTGTTTTGAAATATTACTTTAGTATTTGATTTATGTGAAAGCGGTGCCTGACAGATTCGCGTCTGGTCGAATTAAAGACACGTTCAACGTCTGTACTTTTAATTTGTATCTATTCAAGACATTAACATTTACATTACATTGAACACAATAACATCCCAGCTTGCGCTGTGTTTGCTGGTTTTGTATGTGTAACTAATCTTGTTATACCTTCAGTTCCAGTCAAACGACGCCTAAATTTTCATCGAAAGTGACAGCGACACCGACTAAAATATACTGCTAGGATATATCAGTCGTTCCACAAGTGAAAATTACACCACCTGTATAATGAAATACAACACTCATTTTTGTTGTAACTACCGTCATATGGTTTCAGATATTCTAAAACGCATATCGAAGATTTCCAGGAACTTATTTCTCGGCGAACAGTTTTCCCCAAAGAAAATATGGCGTTCTTTGTTTGGCTTCACATTGGCAAGAAATATATCACCATTAGTCACCATAAGGTTTGGACAATTTTGGCATATTTGTTTCTAATTTGGGAAAGGTTCAGGGTGGAAATGACACACCACTTGTGCTTATTAATAAGGAAAATAACAACTTTGTAATAATAACACGATTGATATTTCCAATATTAGAGAAAAAAAACACTTGTTAAAAATCTTCCATATGTGTCATGGCAAACTGTTGGGAATTACCCTGCCAGTAGGTAACACATACAAATAGGAATTGTATACCATGAACTGTCTCGATGTGTGGCATGATTCATAGGATTGACAATTAATTTCCTACCTGTATTTGTGTCTTCTCCAACCATGACGTATGTCATTGCTTCCTCGTCAGACTGGTATAGGCAGGACCCGACTGAGGTGTCACTACTGCTGTCGGACATGGTGTTGCGTGAGTACAGCTAATAGTGCTACTTGAGTACAGCTGGTGGTGCTACTTGAGTACAGTTGGTGGTGCTGTTTGAGTACAGCTGGTGGTGCTACTTGTGTACAGCTGATGGTGCTACTTGTGTACAGCTGGTGGTGATACTTGTGTACAGCTGATGGTGCTACTTGAGTACAGCTGATGGTGCTACTTGAGTAGAGCTGATGTTGCTACCTGAGTACAGCTGATGGTTCTACTTGAGTACAGCTGGTGGTGCTACTTGAGTACAGCTGATGGTTCTACTTGATTATAGCTGGTGGTGCTGCCTGACTACAGCTGATGAATACTGAACAGCATGTTTTCCATAATATGATATACTATTAAATATATGCTCCTTTCAAGTTAGAATGTATGAGTGCTACGGAATTTCTCAAGCCATTCAACATTGTTCATTCGTCTTACCGTGTTGAGTTTTTCATCAAGAATGTAGGATCTCGGCCCATCTCTATCATAAAACACAACGCCATCGCAATATCGAATAGCAACTTCCATAACAAATAGCTCAGATTGTTGGATAGAGTAGAATTCTATGTTTATCAGGTTTCTCGGAGCGTCTGTAAACTTGCCCTGCTTTGTCAATATAGACAGATCAGTCTCAACCTTCCTGTAGATACTCTCTGTCAAGGATGCCTGACTCACGTGTAGTTTGAAACCAACAATGTCTGCAATCTTTGTTTGATAACCTCCCTCTGTGACAACTTTCTTTTCGTTAACACCCAAGTAGTATGACCCGCCTTGAACCAGCTTTGACATAGAAGTTATGTGATCTTTCAGCTTTAGAATGTGCCAGATATGATCAGTCAATTTTCCCACATCAGCTTGTTTCTGCTGAATCTCTTCAGTGTTGTCTTTAAATGCTTTAAACTGTATTTGTCGATTCTCATGAAAGGTTATCACATTATCTGGCAGATTCCTAAGAGAAGCTTGGTTCTTTGCTTTTGTTTCTGTTTTATTCAATACTCCCAAAAGGTTCAGTGATGTTATAACCAGGTTTTCATTATCATTGTTTGTCTTAGTGTTGAAATCAACTGTTGCTACACCAGCTGTTTTGTTAACGTCAACTACAAGAAAGTCAAACGCGCCTGTGAATTTCGGTTTCTCGCTGAGGAAATAACGTTCATATGAGTCAGTATACAGTTCACCACCTTCAAGTAAGTTTGTGAATGTATTGACTACAAATTCATCAAAGTATTCGAGACACTTATCTTCTGATGATATCCCCTCCAAGTGAACCAGCAACACTCCCCCGCCACTGTTACGTAAAGCTGACACTGCTTTTGCTACTTTTCCCAGAACTGATGACTTTTCTTTGCTTTTCTTTCCCCTTATAGTCTTGTATTCTGCATGTAGTTGTATCTTAGCGTGCTGACGACCTCCCCTGTGTTCGTCTTCGTACCTGTTTCCTATTGACGCGCAGACTTGGCATCCACCTGCAACATAATATTGTCATGATTAAAATGATGTGAAAATGACCGTGTACACAGGGCAGTAACTGGAAGTCACCATTGGACTTCATTGTCCACCAAGGCGACCTGTAGAGGAGCGAAGTCCTGAATATGTTAGCCCTTAACCAGATCATAAAACGGAGATGATATAACTGACAGAAACTTATAGCAAATTTAATTAGCAGTTTAAAACATTAAATTATTATAGAACACTAGTGATTACAAACACATGTACACGTAGATCCAGATTAAGTATAGGTTGTCAGAACCGATCCAAGTGCTTGCGGTAAGGGGCGAATACATTCGATCTGGTGGTAAGGACTTCCACATTGCATATCATCTAACAGCGAATATGTAAATTGTATACTCATGCTTTTGTCTAATCCAGACTTGACGGTTGTTCTCATCCACTATATTTGTGGTAATCACTTCACATTTTATTTGATCATATTTACTTTTTAAAACAATAACCAGACTATATGTCTCACAAGACAATAAAAGTTTTGTAGAACCAACTCCTGGCATATTCATACCTTAACATAATTCATACATATCATCTACAACAAATATTGTAAGGGTTAATACCTGCCAACTCTTCTGGTTCACTCTCAACGTTGCACATGCCATCTGTGAACAAACGAGAGAGCAACTTAAACATCGCCATGAAGTATAATCCGTTTAGCTGTATTTCATAAGTAGTTGACCAAAGTCAATACGTTGCCGATCATAATGCTTTGATCAAATAAACTTCAAGGGAGCCGTGACGTTCCTGTTTTCGTGGACGTTTAACCTGAAGAAGCCTGGTATGTGCGGCAATGCATTTGCATTCATCAAGCTCGAAAATACATATTTATTTGGTAACTATGACAAAGGGTAGAAAATAGAAACATCCATCTACTATGTTTTCCAACAGATGCAGGGAACGCACAAGTGCTACCGGCAAGACATATGGACAAATGGTGGCAGTCAACCCACGACAGGTACTACCGGTAGGCCATATGGACACATGGTGGCAGTCAACTCACGATAAGTGCTACCGGAAAGACATATGAACACATGGCGGCAGTCAACTGACGACAGGTACTACCAAAAGGCCATATGGGTAAAATGTTGTAGTCAACTCACGAAAGGTACTACCGGAAGGCCATATGGACACATGGTGGCAGTCAAATCACGACAGGTACTACCGGAGGGCCTAATGGACACACGGTGGCAGTCACCTCACGAAAGGTACTACCGGAAGGCCATATGGGCACATGGTGGCAGTCAAATCACGACAGGTACTACCGGAGGGCCTCATGGACACACGGTGGCAGTCATCTCACGAAAGGTACTACCGGAAGGCCTTATGGGCACATGGTGGCAGTCAGCTAACGACAGGTACTACCGCAAGGCCATATGGGCACATGGTGGCAGTCAACTCGCGACAGGTACTACCGGAACGCCATATGGACACATGGTAGCAGTCAACAAACGACAGGTGCTACCGCAAGGCCATATGGGTAAAATGTTGCAGTCAACTGACGAGAGGTGCTACCGGAAGGCCTTATGGGCACATGGTGGCAGTCAACTCACGAAAGGTACTACCGGAAGGCCTTATGGGCACATGGTGGCAGTCAACTCGCGACAGGTACTACCGGAAGGCCATATGGACACATGGTGGCAGTCAACTTACGACAGGTGCTACCGTAAGGCCATATGGGTAAAATGTTGCAGTCAACTGACGTCAGGTGCTACCGGAAGGCCATATTGACACATGGTGGCAGTCAACTCACGACAGATACTACCGGAGGGCCTAATGGACACACGGTGGCAGTCACCTCACGACAGGTACTACCGGAAGGCCATATGGGCACATGGTGGCAGTCAAATCACGACAGGTACTACCGGAAGGCCTTATGGACACACGGTGGCAGTCACCTCACGAAAGGTACTACCGGAGGGCCTTATGGACACACGGTTGCAGTCACCTCACGAAAGGTACTACCGGAAGGCCTTATGGGCACATGGTGGCAGTCAACTCACGACAGGTACTACCGGTAGGCCATATGGGCAAAATGTTGCAGTCATCTCACGACAGATGCTACTCGAAGACCATATGGATTAAAGGTTGCAGTCAAGTCACGACAGGTGTTACCGTAAAGCCATATGGATAATTGGAGGTAGACGACTCACGACAAGGCTACATGGACACATGCTGGCAACTGTTTGATGGCAAAGAATAATCTTTAGTTGATTCATGCGTGTTACAAATTTACAAGTATGAATACTGAAAAGAACATATGTGTTCTTTTGTTTGTCAATTTTACTACCAAATAACCATTTTGTCTATTACAAAAATCTTACCATGATTCGCTCTATTCATTCTTGTGCATTGTGTTGTTTTACCTCACCGCGCCCTGAAATGTAATTCATATTACAGTAATGAATTTAAATACATTTGCTTTTCAGGTGAGCTTTATCCTTAAATTGATCAACAGCTAACTGTTATACATTTCGATATTTCAAACAGAATAGTATCAACTTACACATGTATTTGTTTACATCAATTACTGACTTATTATGTTCATTGAATTCGAACAGCAAACCGACTGAATTTACTCCTGGAGGGCTAAAATTGGTCAGCAGAAACCTGCTCATTAAATCAATCACTGGTTTATTTGGTCAAAACATGGTTATGTACAGACTGCATTGATGAATATGGAATATTGATGACTATGGTATGAAGAAGACATTCACCCCAATACAAAAGAGGAACAAGACCACAGTCACTTTGGAAATAGTGAGTGAGTGAGTATGGTTTTACGCCGCTTTTAGCAAAATTCAGGGGGACACCAGAAATTGGCTTCACACTTTGTACCCATGTCAGGAATCGAACCCGCAAAATGCTATGCAACCCGCTTGGTGTTTTGAACAATTAGACAGTAAGGCCAAATTAAACTTTTTATGTCAAATGTCCAAATGTTAAATATAGGTGGCCCAACAAACACTTCGAATTTATAACTATAATATTTATAACTGTAAATACATTCTAAAGCATGTTTAGAACAAGGTTAATCACTCGTACAAAAACAAAAGACATGTTTCTCATTCGCTGATGGAAGTAACAATGACCTGATCAGCTCTAGAACATTATTGACTTATGTACTATCCCAAAAGAGAAACTGTGTATTGGAAATATGAATACAACTAACAAATCATAAATCATATTAACATGAGATTCAAACCAAGACACTTGTGAGTGGAGGACCTTGCCCAATGACATGTTTCGACGTTGGAAGACGTGCGATGCATGCAGGTCTGTGAATGAGATGATAGCATACAGCCTACACTTAGGCATTCAAAACGTTCACATTTCCACTTGCTTTATTCGACTCCACAGACTACGACGCCATGCCAAGATTGACTACCATGGATTCCACATAAATCTGCAATACAACTTTTTCCACAATTTTGTGATTGGCCCATGTGTATGAATTTACATCCGGTATCTATGATAAAACTCACAGCTTACTGCGCTTATAGCGTGTTCAATGAATGGGTCGTTCTCTAGAGATTCGCATAAATACGGCCGATGTTCTGCTGGGATAGGAAGAAACGTACTAGCTACGACTGTGTATAGTTGTAACATAACTGAACCTATTGTTTTAGTCATGGTAGCTCCAAGTCTAGACTCGTAACGCAAATACAGTTTTGTAATTTCTTCATCGGTCATGTTATTAATTTTTACAGTGGTATCATTTTCCCCCAAATATTGGGAATATTTTCCAACGGCTACCAAAGCAGCGAGTCTTTCTCTATGTTTATCTGTATGTTGATCTACATGTTAATCTACATGTTGATCTACATGTTGATCTACATGTTGATCAGGTTCTTTAAGCATTTGTTTGGTAAGTTCGTCGCATTCCATAATGTAATACCTAAGAAGATATTTAAGTTTAACAAAATAAAAAATGACATATCCAATACAGCCCGAAATAATAAACTGTTGCGAAAGAATGAGGATTTCAAGCCACATTATTACATAATAACCGCTAATGTTCAATTTATCATATTTTTTGCTATATTTTTTATATATTGTTGCTATATGTTTGCTTAGCAGTTGCTATATTTGCTATATTTTTGCTCAGCAGTTGCTAAATTTGTGATATTTTTGCTAAGCAATTGCATAAGCAGCTGGTTGATTGTTTTTTTCTACGAGTTTACAATGCTTCATTTCTGCCAACAGTTTTCTGACTTATCTTGTTCGAGCTAGGTATAAATAACATCATTTTCGCGTAGACATTCCTCAAATGAATCTCGGTCTCAATGAAACAGGGCTACCCATTTGGTCTGCGCTCTGAGATCTTTCAGGACAGAGTTGTATTTTTGAGTAAGTACAAAATGCTATGCTGAGTATGTCTCCCGAAGAATGCTAAATATGATAGCATATCTTTCTTTTTAGCAAGTTCTTTACTCGCACTGCAGTCATCTATTTTGAAAAGGGTTGATTCTCCTTTGTATTTTTCGTGACATACTCATAAACAGTCTTGTAAACGATCGCCCGGATCAACTTTGTACACCCCGGGATCATTCCTTACCCAATCTCTCAATATGTATGTTTTATTAATGTTTATAGTCGGGCACAGAATAATAATGTGGTCGAAAACATCTCGATAATGTCTTTGTAAAATATCTAGAATAAAAGCTGTTTTTCCACAACCCGTTTGCCTGCAGATGATGGCGCAGTGAGGTTCTTTAGGTAAAAGCTTATTAATAGATTGCTTGCACAAATCTTCCATTCTGTAAATAAAGTTGCGCGTCCATAATCACGTACAAATATATGTTTAAGAAGAGCTTCGTTATCTGTATAGTAACACACTCACTGGCATTTTCTATTCTCCGCCTACTACCGTGTAGTTGGTCATCATCTGTGGTTCTCATGCCAAGCCATAGTGCATACTTCGTGGTAAGGAATTCAGCCATCGATACATCCCAGATCTTTCATGACCGCGTTTACTTCTGGGCTTCGTTTTATAGAAGGGAGTTTTTTAATCTCATCCCACTGTTGGTATGCTCGCATGCCTTGACTATATAGTTGATTAGGCACACCCACGATAGTCAATTCTACTTTTGTAATCTTGGGATTGTAGGACTTCTCGGTATCTCTGGCAAATGCTTCAGAGGGGTCCTCGGACAACATTAAAATTCCCTTCAACGATCTAGCAGGGACGTTTAGATTGATATTCCACGTCGTATTCTTTTTTGTTCCTGGTGATCTTTCGGTGTCGAAGCACGCGATCGTACAAAATGGCTTAACTTCCGGTATACTGGTTACGAATTTGTCTGACTAGTTCAGGATCTGTTATCATATCATACTCCAGTGAGATATTGCCAATAGAATAGCTAGTAGGATCTTCAGTAGGTTTGATTACATTGCTGTAGTCATGAAAAGAGAGTTCGTATTCTAACCTATAGCCTAGGGATGCTTTATAAAAGGGCATGTGACTATCTAGTAATTCAGTCTAGCGGAATATAGAATCGGTTACCTAATGCATCAGCAACAGCCTTATCTCATACAACGGTATTATCACCACTATCAGCACCCACACGCAGTCTCAATGTGTTCTGATTACAAATGCATTGGTACTGTACGTTTTCCAATTCCTTAGCCGTTCTCCAGAGATCCATGTTACAGATATATACATCGCTGTCGTCAATACTCAAAATCTCATTACCGCTAATTTTAATGACGATTTTCTCAACAATTGCACGAACTATGTTCTGAACAAGCTCTCTGCTAGCGTCGGTAGAATTCAAACTAATTGTAAATAATAGTCGGGCGGTTCCTGGAACTAACACATCGTGTGCGCCGAGATTAGGAAAGCGAACCAGAAGTGTTTGATTCTGATCAATGGTACTCGGGTTATTAGTTATAGTTACAGACAGACGAATTGCTTTGACCCCTAATGGATCCCGAAGTCTGCGTTGTGGGTTTAACTTGCGTCCATATTGCGAAGACATTGTTATATTGAAATTATGTAACCTTATGTTTAATATAACAAGAGTCATAAGAAAGATGACATATCCCCCCGGCAGCTGTCAGTAAAGTAACCACTAGTAAATTTGCACTTCTGTATGTAATGAGTCAACAGTTGAATGTTCTTTTAGAAGCATACATTGTTTACCCACTGAATGGTTTTCGAATTCTGCCCCGGAAACGAACCCGTTCCCCAATGGAGTCTAGGCTCAACTTCTTTCCATAAAAATTGTAAAAAATAAAAATTCGTAAAAAAATAAATATCAAAAGGCATCACCTCAGTATGTGCCTGATAGCTTTGCCAAGTTTCGATCAAATACACTGAATGGTTTTCGAAGTCTGCCCCGGAAACGAACACCATCCCAAATTGAGTCTATGTCCAACTTCATTCCTAAAAAATGGGGAAAAAAAAATATTAGAAAAATTCCAAAATATCAAAAGGCACCACTTCAGTATGTGCCTGATAGATTTGCCAAGTTTCGATCAAATACACCGAATGGTTTTCGAAGTCTGCCCCGGAAACGAACACCATCCCCAATTGAGTCTATGTCCAACTTCATTCCATAAAAATTTAAAAAAATAAAAATTAGAAAAATCCCAAAATATCAAAAGGCACCACTTCAGTATGTGCCTGATAGATTTGCCAAGTTTCGATCAAATACACTGAATGGTTTTCGAATTCTGCCCCGGAAACGAACCCCATCCCAAATTGAGTCTATGTCCAACTTCATTACATAAAAATGGGGGAAAAAAAATATAAGAAAAATTCCAAAAAATCAAAAGGCACCACTTCAGTATGTGCCTGATAGATTTGCCAAGTTTCGATCAAATACACTGAACGGTTTTCGAAGTCTGCCCCGGAAACGAACCCCATCCCAAATTGAGTCTATGTCCAACCACCACTTCAGTATGTGCCTGATAGATTTGCCAAGTTTCGATCAAATACACTGAATGGTTCTCGAATTTTGCCCTGGAAACGAACCCCATCCCCAATCGAGTCTATGTCCAACTTCATTCCATAAAAATTTAAAAAAATAAAAATTGGAAAAATCCCAAAATATCAAAAGGCACCACTTCAGTATGTGCCTGATAGATTTGCCAAGTTTCGATCAAATACACTGAATGGTTTTCGAAGTCTGCCCCGGAAACGAACACCATCCCCAATGGAGTCTATGTCCAACTTCATTCCATAAAAATTGAAAAAAATAAAAATTAGAAAAATCCCAAAATATCAAAAGGCACCACTTCAGTATGTCCTGATAGATTTGCCAAGTTTCGATCAAATACACTGAATGGTTTTCGAATTCTGCCCCGGAAACGAACACCATCCCCAATTGAGTCTATGTCCAACTTCATTCCATAAAAATTTAAAAAAATAAA